ACCAAACGGCAGTATGTGACGAATAGGGGTGAGACCGTGTTGGAATAGATGTATGTACGTGTCCTGCGGATAACACAATCATAAATGAAGTCCTGAGGAATATTTTTGTAGATTTTAATGGTCCGTTCCCACATCCGAGGGGTTTGTCTCATCTGGGGTCTGCGTGTCCGGTTGCTGTGTGTTATGCTTGCTCTATCTCGCTCTCTATGGGAGCTGTGAGAAAAATCAAGGACGTGTTGATGAAGAATAAACAGAATAAGTAGACAATTCTATGAGATCATGAAATCGTATCACAATATGTGTGCCCACACACATATAATACTGAATAAAAGATTCTCAACATAATAAAATAATTTAAATAAAACGTAAAATGACTAATAATGAATTGAAAATAAATCAATAAAATGGATAAAAAATACCCTTACATTATTTTGGGAGCGATGATGACCGTGAATGAAATGTTTCCGAAAATTGTGCTTGGTTTAAGTTGAAAGGAGAATTCTTTTGAGATCATCTGTATTTCCCTCTCTCCCCCTCACCCTCTCTCTCTCCCTCCGCCTGCATGAGTGTGCTCATGGCTGTGTGTGTCGGGCTCCCACCGCTCCTGTCATTTCGGTCCGCTGCGAGAGAGAAAATTGATAAGTTTTGCAAAAGTATTAAATGCACTACAGCTATCTCAAAGCGCGATATTACTTTAATGCTTAAATAAACATCTATTCATCTGATGTCCGGTGGTTCTTGTTTATATTTTAACTAAGTTTCTTATTTTAAGCTCAGCAAGCAATTTTGTTTTAAAATAAATCTCTAAATATAGCCTAGACCAGTGTGTCCCAACCGGGGTGCCGCGGCACCCTGGTGTGCCGTCTGTCGAGAGCAGAGGTGCCGCGTAAAAAATCCTTTTTTAATATTTTTAAATTGCTAAAATGTTAAAAAAAGCAGCTATTATATAATATCAATTTCTGATGTCGCCAATAATTAGAGATGCACTGAAATTCCGGCTGCCGAAAATTAGTTCACCGCTCAGGATTCACTTTCACGTGGTGTGACGCTCTGGTATTATCCCGCTCTATGCGTGTGCGCTCCACTCAGTCGCTCACGGCCTATGTGAGTGCTCCACTCATATACCGTTCATGCTCATCGGAACAGCAAATTCCACTGT